TGCCAAATACTGCTGGTGTAGTGACACATGTGGATTGAGCTTTGGAACAAGTTAATGAGCAGTCTTCCAAAGGCAATTTTAGTAAAATAGTAAAGTTCAAAGTCAAGGAGTGAGATAATAGTGATTGCAAGGCACTGGAAAATTGGTCTCCTGTAAGTCACTCTTTCTAGACAGGTGGTGGAAAATGAAAAGAATAAGGAAACAATCTCAAATAAAACCATTTCAGAATCACCCACTGCTCAGCCCCACTTTGAACTTCCGATTCTATTGGTCAGACATGAGGGCCTAACATTCCCAGTGCTGATGCTGCTACTTTGGGATCACTCATTGGAAATCACTGATTTAGATCAGGGTTTCTCAACATTAGGTACTGTTGACATTATAGACCAGATAATTCTTTCTTGTGTGGAGCTGTCCTGTGCTTTAGAGCATGTTTAGTAACATATCTGGTGTCTACTCACTAGATGCCAGTAACTCCCCACGAGTTGTGATGATCAAAAATGTTTGTATACATTATCAAATGTCTTGAGGGTACAAATTGCACTCAGTAGGGAACAACTGCTTTAGATAATTCAACAAATTGAGAGAGACTGTCTACAAGCAGATCCAGAACACAGAAGGGGTCTAGAAATAAAGATATGCAAGAAGCAATGGACCTCTGGATAGGCATCTCTACTCTTAGAAATTAAATGGTCAGATTATGAGTGAGGGCTCAGTTTTTAGCTTTTAATGAATTAACCCTAGAAAAACCAAGTTGGAACTAGTAATTTCAGGTTGCTTTCAGGTTTCTGCATCCTGAAGCCCTGGAAAGCACTTCTATTAAATTATCTACAATTCATGAATGCCCCTTTGTCTTCATCTAAAATATGGGCTTCCTGGGTCACTGCCTCACTTATGTTTAAGTGTCCTTGACAATGACTCCTTTCTTCTGAAGGCCCTGCCATGTTAGAAAAAGCAATGTTCCATACTTGGTGGACAAGTTTTAATATTCCATGCTCAAAAAAGTTTTTTGAAAGAAAAAGATACACTGGGATTTAGTGAATTTTTACAAACATAGATCTTGCAACAATGGACCATCAGGCCTTCCAACAGTGAATGTCAACAGAAGTAAAGGCCCTGACCCCCCTCAGCATGCTACCAATAAAAGCCTTGCCACTCAAATGGCCTCCAGACTGGCAGCACGAGCATCATCTGGGAACTGGCTATCTGAGCTCCTATTTTTTCAGGATAGTGGTTGTGCATTTATTCATGTAACTTTGATAAATGTCCATCTCCCTCTCTGTTAAAACCCTATGAGGGAAAAATCTGCTCACTGTTGGACCCCAGAGTGCCACACATACACGTGCACATACATACACACATATCAGTGTTTAAAAATGTTAAAAATCTCATTCTTATCTGCTTCTCCAATTCCAATCCCCAAAAGGGCTTCAGAAGAGGTTTAACTTCTTAACTAACATATTCAGAAGACCTGAATTTCTTAGATCTCTGAGGGATGATTAGGAATGATTTCTGTGATAAGGAAACATGGAGTTTTCCTGAAGTTTTTGCTTAAATTATTTATTTGTCCCAATTTGAGGCCCTAGCCACTAAGTGTCCTCTGAGTACTGAAAAGAGAGAAGACGTTGAACATATTCTTTATAATTCTGCATGAGGGCCAACTTTTATTCTTAAATAATAGTATTAATTTTGTTTCTTTGTGTTTTCTCCTTCAGGAAATGTTAAGTATATGAGTAAAGTGTTATAAATTAACATGATCACTAGTAAGAAGACTTTTCACTTATAATTTATGTATTTACTTATAATTTGTGCTGCCTTTCCACAGAATAATTTGAAGCAAATGTTTACAATGAAATGACCATAAAACATAATTAAAGCAATTGACAAGGCGCAACATGGACTATTGTGATCTTCTGATCTTGCTGTCTCTGTGTATGATGACAAAAATATGAGTCTCATATTTTATAACTTAGAAAGCATAATACTATAGGCAGTATCTTTGTCCCCACTATCAGGAGTCTGCTAGAGGTAGCTTTTGTGAAACATCATTTAACTATCTCAATACTTTTTCTCAGACACACACACACACACACACACACAACTTGAAAAATAACAAGGACAACTGGCTTTATTAAACAGTGTTTTTTATTTACAAAGGATTGTTTTTATTTGGCCTTTTGGAAAACCACTAACATGTTTCACTTTAGAAAACATTAAATAATAAACAAGATGTTTTACAGTACTTTGGATAACTTCTTCCATCAGTTTAGTGCAATGTATTATTGGCACCTAAAAGTAAAATTTTCCATTATTTTCCTCTTTCATCTTCAGCTGGGCAGTTATATGACCAAAAATGAATCATTCAAAATGGATCTAAGGCCATATTTTCTGCCTTTACTCAAAGGCTCACTGATTTATATCCCCACTTCAGCCCTGCCTCTATCATGTTAAATAACAAAAGACTTTCTACAGTACCTACTGTTCAAAAAACTTTACCACCACCATCCTGTGGAACTTGGGAGAGTCCAATTGATAAGAGAAACTGAATTATACTGATGAGGTGAAGGAAAGGTCTGGTATGCTGGGCAGGGCACTCTTTCTCAGAAGCCAAGTTAACTTGTCTCACACAAAGCAGAGAGAACACACCAGATAAAAATCTCTCTGAACTGTGTTCCTTGAGGGGGTCTCTTTAAAAAATCTGAGACGCCAGGCTTGGTGGCTCAGCCTGTAATCCTGTGCCTTGGGAGGCTGAGGTAAGTGGATTGCCTGAGCCTGCGGGTTCGAGACCCGCCTGGGCAACTTGGTGAGACCTCATCTCTACAATAAATTAAAAAATGAGCTGGGCGTGGTAGCGTACACCTGTAATTCCAGCTACTTGGAAGGCTGAGGCGGAAGGATCACCAGAGCCCCAGCAAGTCGAGGCTGCGGTGGCCAGGAGCGGCCACTACACTCCAGTCTGGGCGACAGAGACTCCAACTCAAAAAAAAAAAAATCTGAGACATCATCCACTGAGCAAGTGAAAGTCTTTTACCTTCACTAAGAAAAAGAAAAATCTAAAAACAATGTCACATTAGTCCATTAGTGAGATACTAATATATCTGTCCATCATACTCTCTTTTGGAATAAATAGTTTTTTTGGTATTTTTTCTTTTTGCTTTAATACTGCTAGGTTTGCCATAAAGGGAGAGACATTTTAATGAATTCAGCATTTGGTGGGCTCTTCCCCTTTTGATCTTTCTGCATTGGGAGGTCAAGAGGGAAGTGCCTAAATTAGAGCCTAGTCCAAACTACTTGGTTCTGAAGATTTTTCATTGCACACCAGTGGTAGGGTCAGAATATCTTTTTGGGAGATTCCGCAATCGGTTAGTTTACCTTAAGGTAAGTTAACCATCTTAAATAGATAAATTTTAATCTAAGCTTTTAAAAGTAGAGAAAGGAGAGAGAGAGAAAGAGAGAGGAGGGGAGGGAAGGAGAGGGAGGGAGGGAAAGGAAGAGGGACAGAGGAAGAAAGGGGGAAAGGGAGAGAGGGAGAGGAAGAAGGAAAGGGGGAGAGGGAGAAGGGGATGGAGAAGGGAAGAGAGGGGAAGAGAGAGAGCAAGAGAGAGAGATTTTTACACTTCTTTTTATAACAGATTCGAATTTAATAGCAGTCCTTGCCAGGAAATGCTCCCTCACACTCTAGCCTAAGCCTGCTTCCTCTTGTTCTATTCTTAGTGCTTATGGAGAACAGCTGGTCACCATCCTTTCTGTGCCAACCCTTCATATATTGAAAACCATCAATGATTTGCCTCTCAGTCTTCTCTTCTACAGGCTAAATAATCCCAGTTCCTTTACTTTTTCATCACAGATCTTTTTTTCCAACCCTTTAATCATCTTTGTGATTCCTGGCAAAAAACAGCAGAAAATATTTTGATTACTTAATCAGAAATTAAGAGAAGCCTCAGGAGTAAGTTGCCTTTTACAAGTTTTTACTTTTTTGTTTTTAATATAAAGGTAAAATATGTTGAGAGGAAATATAGCTGGGGGCTCATGGATCTTAGAATTCCAATCTTACCCTACCCCTCCAATATGCATGAATCCCATCCCAACACATCCAATGCTCCCAGTATAGGACTTGCTTCCTATCCCATCCTGGCATAGCACACAAGTTATGAGCTACACTTCTACTGCCTCAACTTACACTGATTTAAAACTTTGTAAGAACATTTGTTCCAATGGCGCTTCCTCTGCACTTCCTTCCACTCTGGAATCCCTTCTCTGAAAACAACCCAAACTTTTACAAAGCACCCTACAGATTACCAGAGAGAGCCATGTTATGATAGTAAAAGCTGTCGGTTTTATAGTATAACTTGAAGAAACGAGGGCTTTATATATTAACTGTAGTTTATCATCTCCCTAAATGGTTTACTCTCCCTTGCAGAGACCAAACTCAAGGTCGTTAAAAAAAAAAATCATCACTCCACCACCACAACCAGATGCCTTTGCCAATTTTCTCTTGCTGCCAATATAAGGTCATGGAACCAGATGACATTTCACCATGTATTTTTTAACTCAAGAGATCACAAGCTGCCCTTTACCTTGCAACTAGAGTCTGTAACTATTAGGAATATGTAAATACTTAATATCAATAGCACATTTACACAAAACACAATAGTACTAACAAGGGATTACGTGCCCACTCTACAAAATCGTCATTAAAAGAAAAATACAGACAACGATAAATGCATCTTGATATGTTACACACTGTTATTTTATAAAGTAAATGACAATAAAAGTCAGAGTTCAGGTCAGGCCAGACTAGCTTAAGTGAAGAGGGTAAATCAGTTTCACAAGCACATCGTATATCATATTTTAAGGGAAGTCAATACTACTCATGGTACAACACTGATCAGATAACATCATGGCCATTTGCACAGCTTTCTTTTGACAACTTTTGCTCCCATAATTTGCTGCAAGGGGTACCTTGTAATCAGGATGAAGGATGGGATGGGTCACACACACTGTAGGCCTTCCTAAAAGAGACACAGGATGCAAGGCATCACTCAAAGATGGCTGGATTGTGTCGGCAGATGGCCCCGTATTTCAAGGAGGGTGTCAAAATTGTCATTGCACAAAAGCAGGTCAGCAAGACCTGGGTCACCAACCAGATTTCCTTCTAACCCACTGACCCACTCTTCTCCTAGGCCTGAAAAGAGGAAGAAGTGAAGATGAGAGTTGGAAAAGAAGAGGGAGCAACAGAGGCGTTCACAGCTAGAGTTGTTAGCGTTCCTCAGAGCAGTGGCCTTTTTTCAAGCTCACATCATCCAATCCAATCTCCCCAGTGTGACCATGCCTTTTTTCACCTTTGAAGATGACCTAGGGAGAGAATACACACACCAGTCAAGCCTCTGCCCCTTTCCAATGTCCACTTATGAAGCAAAGTAAAGGCAGACTTCCCCAAAACTAAATATTAAACTTAACAGGAGGAAAGACTAGAACATAGTTACCATTGTCACCTGCTTGTCTTTCATTAGAAATTTAAATCATCAGTAAACTATTCATCAGAACACATTACTTGAAATCAGTTATTCTTTAAAAAGCTATTCTAAGCTCTAGACTAATTCAACTTAGGAACACTCATAAAGTGGACTCTTTGTCAAAGATTACCAAAGTTAGAAGCAAGAAGAGTGTGATGGAATATAGAGGAGCAGATATTAAGAGCCAAGGATCTGAAGGTCATAATCATGCAGCCTGTCTTAGATGTTTCTTAGTTTCCCTTTTTGGTTAATATAACTTTATTGCTGAAAATGGAAAAGAAGCAGACACCATAATTCAATCACACTGATGTTTTAACTATGTAAAAACCAAAAACTTTCACTATTCTTTTTTATTTCTTCTACAGAGCATCCCTGCTCCTTTGGAAATAGTAGAAACCTTTCAATGCCATGATTTGAAATAATTTATTACCTTCTTTTATTTTTCCATATCCCAATATTGAGAAATTTTTTTTCAAAAAATTAAAAATATCAAAGAATTGAGCTAAATCCAAGTACTCTGATAAAAAACGGTATTACTGGAATCTATCTTTTCTTTTTAAATGAGTGGCTAAGCCAGGTGCGGTGGCTCAAGCCTGTAATCCCAGCACTTTGGGAGGCCAAGGTGAGAGGACCGCCTGAGTCCCAGGGCTCGAGACCAACCTGGGCAACTTAGTGAGAACTCGTCTCTACAATAAATGAAAAAATGAGCCAGGTGTGGTGGCACGTGTCTATAGTTCTGACTACTTAAAAGTCTGAGGCGAAAGGATCACCTGAGTCCAGCAGGCTGACTCTGGGGTGGCCGTGAGTGTACCACTGGACTCCAACCTGGGTGATGGATTGAGAAGTCGACTCAAAAAAAAAAAAAGTTGCTAGAAACTATACTTACAGATGTAGATGCAGAAACTCCTAACAGTAAGTTTTATAAGCATTGGCATAAATCTGACATTTTCCGTAATGCATTCATTATTTTGGTGGGATGTTGTAGACCATTTTCTTGCTACCTATGACTTGATTACTTACGATCAAACTTATATATTCATTCAAAGCATTTCCCTCATCCTGTCCTGAATAGAACAGTGCTTTCCAGCTGTAGTTCTGAGTTCCCACCCTAGGCTGCTTAACCATGATCTCTGAGGCAAAGAAAAATAAACTGAACTTTAAAGAAACATTTTAAAAGAGAAAAAAGAACCATCTCCAGGGTCATTTATGGTAGTAAAAGTTTGAAGTACAAGGAATTGAAGGAAAAGGAAAAGCAGACACAATTAAGCTCACCACCCCTGCCCTTTGAAGTTACTGTTGATTAACTTTTTAAAACTCCTCTATTTCTTTTTTTTTAATTAAAAATAGTGGTTCTTCACTAGGGTGAGGAAGGTAACGGTGGTCACAGGCTGCAATGAAGAAGAATGAAGACACAGAAAAGGATTTCAGAAAGAGGCACTGAAGGGAGACATCATGTCCAAAAAAATAACATGAACCTTTATTTGCACCTGAATTCAGAGACCAGGGCTTCTTTAAAAGTCAGAGCCCAGAGTTCTCTTATGAAAGGAAAACTGCCCAGGTTCTCCTTTTTTGTAGATCTACTTACGCTCTTGACGTCAGCCCCTCGCAAGGTGATCTGTGTTTGCCTCCAGCCATGGCCACCATTTCTTCCCCACAGGGCTGCTCCGTGGGCACTGTGTTTTCTCACAAATACCTGGAGCGTGCCAGAGTGCAGTCCTGTCACTTTGTGCCTGAATGACAGGCACAGGTCCCCTGAATGCATGAGGTGGCCAAGAGGTAGCACCAAGCGAGCGGCTTTTCCCCCTGGAGCTTTGGCTGCCGATACAGTCAGATACTGTCCACCTGGAATGGGAAAAGCAGGGCTGTGTGTATGTACCAATATCCTTCCTAGCACAAACAACACGGGCAGGAGTTTTAGCATTTTGTCTTACTTTTAAAGAACTCCAGATTTTGATGGAGAAAAATATGACTTATTTCTATGACTGTCTTAAATTCTGTGATTTATGTTTACAGAAAATGCTAATTTACTTTGCTTGTGGAGAGTATAAGTTATGCCAAGAACACACAATAATTAGCAATCCAAACACTGTGAATATTTCCAATGGAATATGATCAGGCATACATGGACATACCAAAACATTCACTACCTCCTCATCCTCGCCAACATAGCCTCCCAAGCTGGCTAGGTGGTTTAGTAGAGCAGACCCTAAATTTCAGGGATTATTTTTCTATGTGGATAATTCATCTCTGGGCAGTAAAGCACATAGTAATTTAAAGGGTATTATAATTATTTTACTCTCTCCTCCCATCATTAAAAAAAAATCTCTAAATACAGAAGGGTCTTTTCTAAAAAAGAGCTTGCTATGCTTCTGACACCAGTGTATACCTAAACCCAGGAAGATCCAGAGGTATCCTGGAAACCTGTCACATCTTCCTGGAGTGTCCATTTTATTTGGAGGTAAGCCATTTAAAACTTTTTTATATTAAAACAAATCCATAATATTATATCTATTTTATAAATATATTCTATTATAAAGAGGAACACAGATATTAATACAAACTTTCACTTTAGACAGATCACTTTGATGATGTTCTCAGATACCTAGGGCTACAGAGTTTGCTTTCCTTTGTTGTCAGGGAAATTGCAACTAGAAAAAAAGGGGAGGGGGTGCCACTTCTCAAAAGAGAGAAAGTCGCAAGTAGTATTTTGAAACTTAATCCATGTACAAATGACATTCCCCTCAGGGTGTTTTATCTCAGCCAACTGAAAAACACATTAGATGTTTCAACACTGATTTTTCCACAGGAAAAATGTGGTTGGAATGCTGAACATACGTAACTATTTTGGTAGGAATCTCACTTAATTTTTAGTTAAAAGATAAAACAAGTTGGGTGTGGTGGCTCACTCCTATAATCCCAGCTTTTTGGGAGGCTGAGGTAGGAGGATCTCTTAAGCCCACGAGTTCAAGACTAGGCAACATAGCGAGATCTCATTTTGATAGATAGATAGATATAGATAGATAAAATCATCTCTTTCATATACTTAATTTATATAAGACATGACAAGATTTTGGATTTTGTGTTATTTAAGTGTTTCTTCTACCAAGGTCCCTCTGAGCTTTCATAGGTCATAGGTGATTTCTATGTGTGCATGATGTGCCAGCCTCTGTGTTAAGTGCTGCCCAGAAAGCTGTGAACAGCTTCAAGTCAGAACCAACCTTTCCCCCACACCTTCCAGTTAAACTCCTAGCATAGAGTAGGCGTTTAAAATTGTTTGTTGAATAAATAAATGATGTTCCATGAATACGGAAAAAAAAACTACAAGGAAATAGGTCCTTGACTCATATACTTGAATCACTAAAAACAAACATAATTTCTTATCTTCTTCCCACTTCTCCTTGTCCCCATCTCCCGTCCCCCTCAAATTAATCCAAACAATACTTTGGGCCAACACATTTACATACATTTTAAATGTCTTCCTATAAGTCAGCTTTTGAATCATCACAGATATTCTGGCTAAGACTAATATATAATATTATTACAGTTAACCTGAAAGTTAAAAAAAAAAAGGATTAAATCTCTGTGGAATGTGTGCTAATAGCATTCTGCCAGATGCTATCTGCAAACAAGACAACCTAACAAATCAAAGCATTGTAATCAAAGATTCAAATAATCCTTTTTATACATATTTAAACTAGAGGCTGAGTACAATGGCTCAAGCCTGTAATGGGAGGCCAGGGCTAAAGTATTGTTTGAGCCCAGGAGTTCCAGACCCACCTAGGCAACACAGCCAGACCTCATCTCTACAAAAAATCAAAAACTTAGCTGGACACAGTGGCACATGTCTGTAGTCCCAGGTACTCCAAAGGCTGAGGTGGAAGGATTGCCAGAGTCCAGCAGCAGGTCGAAGCTGCAGTGAGCCATGGTTGTGCCATATACTCCAACCTGTGTGACAGAGACTCCAACTCACAACAAATAAACAGACAAACAAAAAACTCTAAACTTTAAAACATGATAAATGAGGTTGCAATTATTCGTCTTTTATAGAGCTACTGGGTGGCATGAATTCTTTCTCTTTGTGATAAAGGGAAATGTTATAAAGTTGGAACTAAGGGAAAAAAATTGATCTGGCATCCCAAACAAGTTAGCTGTTAAACACAATTTTCACCTCTGATTTCAAAATTCTGACTATATATAAGCATAAAACTATATTAAACATCTTGTTCAGTTTAAAGCATCACAACATCTAAAGAATTGGGAGGGGAGGAGGAGATAAAAAACAGATGCTGTAAAACTTGACCAGGAAGTTAGGTGATAACATTTTAATTCACCTATTTTTGATTCTGGACTGGTTGGTGCTTTTACAATTTCAGTTGACAAAACTCAAAGGTAATTACTAAGATGTTGACTTCTGAACTTTTCCTATGTAATCCATGTACATAAATGTACATGAATATGAAATTTTTAAAAAAAGAATACTATATTTGCAGCATTGTAATTTGCTTTTTTCATAATCATTTTTCTATATCAGCAATATAGTTTTTTGTTTTGTTTTTTTTTTGAGTTGGAGTCTCACTCAGTCGCTCAGACTGCAGGGCAGTGGCCGCTTCTGGCCACCGCAGCCTCGACCTGCTTGGCTCCGACGATCCTTCCGCCTCAGCCTTCCAAGTAGCTGGAACTACAGGCACGCGCTACCACGCCCGGTTGATTTTTTCATTTATTGTAGAGATGAGGTCTTGCCTGCCCAGGTGGGTCTCGAACCTGCAGGCTAAGGCAATCCACTCACCTCAGCCTCCCAAGGCGCAGGATTACAGACTGAGCCACCAAGCCCGGCAGCAGTATACTTTCACAACTGCAAGTATGCCATTAATCATTTAGCCAATTTCTTACTGAAGAACATTTAAGTTTCCAAATTTTTACTTTTTTAAGATAAAAATACCATAGAATAGACAAGTGAAACAATTTAAAAAATTTGTAACACATGAAAAAAGGATAATTTCTTTTACATTAAAAAACTTTTATAAATCAGTAATACAAGAACACAAAAGAAAAATAAAGGACATCACAAAAAAATGACTTAAACATATGAAAACATGATCAACTTTCCCCAAAAATTAAAATAGAATTAAAATGACATGTCTTTTCACCTATACGCTCGGCAAATACGTAAAAAACAATTTTATAATATCTGTTGGGGATGGTTCTCAAATACTGCTGGTAAAGTGTAAATTGCTAAAACCCTTATGAAGGGAAATTTGGTCAAATTCTATCAAAATTCAAATTCCCTTTTGATGTAGCAATTCCACATTAAGGAACTTATTCTATAGATACAGCAAACAGATGAAACAATATCTGTGCAAGGTTCTTCACTGCAGCACTGTCTGAACTACTTAAAGGCTAGAAATAAAAAGTTCCTCAGTGGAGGGCTTATTGTGGTGCATCTGATGAGTAATAGAATAATAGCCATGAATAAGAATGAGGGTGTTCTGAGTGTACTGCTATAGGACAGGCTTCTATGACTAATACTATTTTAGTGGTAACTCTGGCCAGGCCCTGCTTGAAATGTTTTACGTATATTTAGTAGATACTATTGATTATCCCCGTTTGAGCAACCGGCTCAAGGTCAAAGCTAGCAAGTGGTGGTTGCTGGGTCTCGGGCCAGGCATTCTGGCGTCAAAGTCTATGTTCTTCTTGTTAACTCTTAATATCATTAAGTGATAAAAGCACAGTATGGAGGAAGGTGCCATTGCATGCAAAAATATATCCCTGGAAATATAATCAAGAAACTGGCTGCATCTGGGGCGGGAGGGAATGGTGAACGGAAGCCAGGGATGGCAGAGAGTTTTCATTTTCATTGTTGATTTATTTTTCCACTTATGTGTGTGTTTTGAGTCAAGAGTCTCACTGTGTCACCCAGGCTAGAGTGCAGTAATACCATCACAGCTACCACAGCCACGACCTGCTAGACTTGACGACCTGCTGGACTCGGATGATCCTTCTGCCACAGTCTTCCAAGTAGCTGGGACTATAGGCACATACCATCATGCCTGGCTATTTTTATTTCTTTATTGTAGAAACAAGGTCTTGCAATGTTGTCCAGGCTAGTCTTGAATTCCTGGGCTCAGACAATCCTCTTGCCTTTACCTCCCAAAGTGCTGAGATTACAGGTGTGAGCCACTGTGCCTAGCCTTAATTTTCCACTTACATGTATTTGAAAATAATATTTACTTGTAGGTACATGCTGGCATACTTGATCGATATTTAATTCCTCATAGCTAACAGTGGTAGACAGAGCACTGAATCAGTTGCCTTTAATCCTTGTTCTTCAGAGAACAAGGTTCCAGGGAAAGGCCCTCAGGTCTAACTTTGACATCTATAGGAGAAGAGTGTGTCCTCAGGGCCACAGCTACAGGACTGTGGTATATCACCATGTCTGCTGGCAGCACAATTTTCCAATTCTTAGAGGAATGTGTTGATTTCATCTCATAATGAAGTTCAAGACTGAATGTGATAAGCAAACCCTAATGGCACCATAAAGGGCAGTTAGCAAATGTACTTATTTTTCAGCTGTTTCTCAAGGTTGTAAATGTATTTAGTTGAGAATTTTCTTAGAAATATTAGCATATAGATATTTACAAATCTGGATCTTGGATAAGAATTGTACACCATTAAACTCAGTCATAATTGGAGGTCTAAATATATAATCTCTTATAAATGTTATAATCTAGATTGAAACAAGTCAACAATCAGCTTGGTAATTAGAATAATTAGAATAATAAATTATTGAAATTGCTTATAATCTTCTCTGACCTTTACATGTGATACACATAACTCCACCTGAACTTTCTAGAAGAAAAATAGTCATAAACATATAAGCTTTCTTAGTATTTTCCCATCAGTGTATGGCTAGAATTCCCCAACATATTCTAAAAATATCTCTGCAATTCTATCCTAACATATGACATATATTCCTACTCTTTCTTTCCATCTCTCTGCCATCTTTTGGTCTTTTCATCTGTTATTTCCAAGCTAGAATCCTGCTTACCGATTTCCCTGGGAATACTTGGGACTTCCATTCTGAATCAGGTTCTCAGAGATAGTTAATGAGGCTTTCTTATCAACACTCATCCAATGTTCAAAACCCTGTAAGAACATCTTACCATATGTCACCCAGTCAAATGCCTCCACCAACAGAGCACTCACTCCTTCAATGTCAACCTGTTCTTTTTTTAAGACAGTTCTATTAGAAAGTTCTTTCTGGGAGTGAACCAAAATAATCTCCCTGTAGTCTTCACCCATTGATCCTACTTCTCATCCTCTTGTGACCACAGAGAACAACTCTACACCAGTCAATTTAACAAGGAATTTTGCTCCATTATTTTTTCTCCAGGTTAAACATTACAGTTTCTTCATTTGTTTTTCACAGGCTTCAAGATATGTTTTCATCCAGGTAATTCTCTTCTGAGTGACATACAATTAACTCTATTCTTCTCAGACTGGAAAGAACCCTCAAAAATGGACTTAACAATTAACCACTTAGGCAAAGTGGATTTTTCATTCTGGAAAAATACCATATTTCTATGGAAATGGACTAACTTCATTATCTACTAAAACTCTAAACTCTCCTGCACTTGGTGCTAAGTCACATATTTCCCCTCTCTCAGCTGTGTGCTTGGTTTCTAGACCATGAACCATCTTGCATTCATCCCCATTAGATTTCACTCTCTTAACTGTGACCCATTAATCTGACCTCTTCAAGGCTGGCTGTGTCTGCACACACACTTTCCTCTCCAGTTCGGTCAATTTGTCTTCAATATTGAAGTTCAATGTCCACTTTATCTAAATTCTTGGTTAAAACTTGGACCAACCCTAGAAAAGCATTCTTCAGGGGCCAAAGTCAATCATTAGGAGTTATTCAAACTCCCAAGCAGCTGCCACTTCCTTTCAATTCGTTCTCTACTAACACAGCCCAATGAACGTTCCAAATTTTTTTTGTCTATCATTCTAATTTCCAATCCTTTTTTCATTTTCCCACCAGGGGGCAAGAATAATTTAGATCACAACAAATGTAAACATTTACAAATATGATGAATAATAAAAAAATGTTTAAAGGTACTAAATTGGTTCAAAAATATAATGTTTAAATTTAAAAAATCAAGTATTTTACATAGACTATCCAGTTCACACAGAAGTGCAATAAATTATACTAGTTTAGCATGAATTACTCTCCCCAATGTAACTTATTTGAAAGAATTATTCTTTATGACCATGACTGCCAAAGATCCATCCTTCTGTAGCTAATTTACTCCAGGTTGTGGCCAGTCTACTGGTTTGTGATCTGTTCAATCAGATCATGACATCTGCTGAAGCCAGATAGTGTGAGTAGTAAAAAATCCAGAATTACGCTGCAGATATTTTGGCACTGAACTGCCTTGAGCCCACATGGGTAGTATAGGGAAGCCTGAACATGAAGTCAGAAGACCTGGGTTTGACACTATATTCCACCAGGTATTCCACTTAGGAAACTTAGGTAACTTCTCTGGGTGTCATTATTTCCTTTGTGAAATAAAGACAATATTACTTGCTTCTCAGGGTGAATAAAAGAATTAAATAAAATTAATAAGATGATGTATGAGCTAAAACTGTCATGGGTATAAAATAAATGCTACCTTCTCTCTTGTTCACAATTCATTATGACATTAATACTAACACGGTACTGTTCAGAGTTAACTTAAGTGAGTGAAAGAGTAATGCAAGAATGAGTGAGTGTACTGTGTGAGGCATTAAACAATGTTTTTTCTTATAACTAAAAGAAATATAAAAACCGATTTGAATGTATTGAATATTCATATTTACAAAGTTTACCAAAAATTTTCATTTTTAAATATATGTTATATTTTGATTTTAGAGGATCTAAGCATACATTGAGGATTAATTTTTAATACCTTCCTACTCAAAATGTGCATTGACAGCTACCACCATAGTTATCTTCAGGGAGCCTGTTAAAAATGCAAAACAATCTGCATTTTAACAGGGTCTCCTGCTGCTCTGTGAGCACACTGAAGTTTGAGAAGAACTGGTTTAACAGATCATAAGAACTCTCAAGTTAACTTTTCTGTGTTTTGTGCTCTATCTATATATCTGTTGTGGTATTTAAGAACTAGGCTTTTAAAATAAATTAATAACACACATTTTCTTTACTTCTTGTATCTTTTATTCTCAGAATCTAGAATCAGGAGTATAACAAGGAAAAAAGAAAACCAAACTCCTCTTCCTTCCATTAAGTTGGTCTAAAAAGATTTAACTACTGAAAACTATCCTTAATCTAGAAGAAAAATTTTTATGAGTACTAAAACTTTAATAGGAATTGTGCAATTTTAAAGTCTGTTAATTTTCCAAGAGACTATACTATATCTAAATCTACCTTTCTAATAAGCTTCTCTTATGGAACAAGTAGTGGTAATTTGTAATTGTTTTTTCCAGCATCCAAGTTAGAGTGAATTTTTTTCAGAGAGATAATCACAATTTTACAGACGTTTCTACTATCTCCTTCTACTACTTTTCACATCTTTAATAACAACAACAACAAAAATATAATTGAGAAAACAACCAGCGACTATCTACCATCATGGCTACATCACCACTATATTAATTATTTTATTCCTGGAAATAGGGCATTACAAATAATTTGAAAATTGTATGCAAGAAAGAATCAAAATGTTTTATTTATCAAGCTTTTTGAGAGAAACTAACTGCCCTTTTAATTAACTACTCGTATCCCATAAAATAATGCTAGTTGATAGCCAACAAATTTAGTTCACTTAGAAAATGGAATATAAATATGGGCATAATCTTTTTGGGCCCCCTTTATTAAGTAAATATAGTTGTGTAACAGTATATTGATTAGCAGAACAAGTGTCTTCAGATAGGATCAAACTGAACTGTATATCAAAAACAGTTAGATGAAATGGTTTTACCTGCGGGGTCCCTGGTTGGTTCCCAGTGCAAGTCACTGTCTTTTTCCCTAATCCATCCACAAAGTCCATGGTCAAAATTACAACTGTGAACCAAAACACCTACAAGGAAATGACCAAAAAGATGAATAGATCAAAACTCAACAAACAACAACAAATGAATTTGTGCACTAGGGGCATCTGTACAAGTGTTCTCTCCCATCCAAACACCAGAACTTCTTTCCATGAGATCAAAAGGAAATAACATAAGCCTTTCTCAGCACATAGCACATGCATGCTTATCTGTATGAAAACAGAGCACAAAAATGTTGCCAAATTATGACCTTGTTATATCATCACTTAAAAAATATGATTTCCGCCGGGCTTGGTGGCTCAGCCCGTAATCCCGTGCCTTTGGGAGGCTGAGGTGAGTGGATTACCTGAGCCCGCAGGTTCGAGACCCGCCTGGGCAGTGAGACCTCATCTCTACAATAAATCAAAAAAATCAGCCGGGTATGGTAGCGCATGCCTGTAATTCCGGCTACTCGGAAAGCTGAGGCAAAAGGATCGCTGGAGCCCAGCAGGCGAGGCTGTGGTGGTCAGGCGTGGCCACTGCACTCCAGTCTGGGTGACCGAGTGAGACTCCAACTCAAAAAAAAAAAAAAAAAAAATATATGATTTCCTTTTCACAGTTTAAATACTACTTTAATATATTTTTAAAAGAAAATAATGATTCATAATTATTTTATTCCAACTGATTTAACTACATAGGAAACTGAATTTTTTTTAAAGGTATAATTTTCCCAGATGGTACCAAACAATCTACAATTTAAGTTATTTTCATGAAATGGAGAAAAATAATAAAATGTCATTATATCAGTACTAAGAGTATAAGTATCTACCTGGATCATCCTTTGTTTCATCATCTGCACTGACTCCTCTTTCTATTTCATATATTTCAAACAAGTCATTTGAAGGCTGCCGTGGAACTGCAAGAGAGAGGTTTTTGGTTTATTTTTTTAATGGGGCATTAATAAAGAGGCATTACCTTGAACAAGGATCAGGAGAAAAAGAACTAGGCATCCCACTCAATGGAAGAATCCAAATATTTTATTACATCTCACATGAAGATTCATGAAGTTTATTTTGCAGTGATATATACTCTATCACTTATCTGGGTACAATTTTTAAAAAACGATTTTCAAAAGTTCCTAAAATTCAATAAAAATAATTTGAAATTCTTCATCTGGAAAACACATTACAAAAAAACTACCAATTTCTAGCAAAGTATTCATCTTGATGAAATTCTAAAATTTATCTCTATGACATACATTAATATGAACTTTAAATTAAGGCTGTTTTTAGTTGAAATGCCTACAATTGAAGCAAATTATTTGGTTTCCTAACTACAACATCTACTTTGCTTCAATGAACTCTGCACATTGTTGAATTTAATATGGGGGGGGGGTACCAAAAATGTATACACGGTTTAAGAGATGTTATCTACATATTACTTTTTAAAGTAGTTTTTAGAAGTATCTGGCCGCTGATCCACTTTAAGCACCTCTTATAATTGCAGAAGTCAAATAGTCAAATGCGACTTGTATTCATCTTTTGCTATCGGTATATACTGAGTATTATAATTTTAATACGGTTTTTTCCATTCTTAAAATGTGTATACTTTTTTTTGCCACCCTCTGTATATTTCTTACTATGGCTTCACTTGCTTAAGCAGGTTTCCTGGCTCCTTTAAGATCAAATCCAAACTCCTTGGTACAGCATTTACAATCCACCCCACCAAAACACACAATGCTGTCCAAACATGCCATTTATTTTCACATGTCTGACCGATGCTCATCTTCCTGCTAATTAACATGCCAAACTTCCCCTCTTCCTTCAAGGTCCAGCGTAAATATCACTGCCTCCGGGGAAAGGTTCATGCCCCAGGCAGAATCAAATTCTTCTCTCTTGTACCTCAACAGCTTATGTTTACACACCTCTATTACACACTTACTTTTTTTTTTTTTGAGTTGGAGTCTCACTCTGTCGCCCACACTGGAGTGCAGGGGCACGTTCCCGACCACCGCAGCCTCGACCTGCTGGGCTCCAGCGATCCTTCCGCCTCTGCCTTACAAGGACCTGGAACTACAGGCGCGCACTACCACGTCCAGCTAATGTTTTGATTTATTGTAGAGATGAGGTCTTGCCAAGATGCCCAGGTCTTGCCAGTTGCTCGAACCCGCGGGCTCAGGCAATTCACTCACCTCGGCCTCCCAAAGCGCGGGATTACAGTTTAAGCTACCGAGCCCGGCCTATTACACGCTTTCATAAAGAGTTGCAGGTACACACAGCACATATGTATCTGTCCCTCTGCTAGTCTCTGAGGTCCTGGAGGGCATCAATCACATCTTATTCAGATGGCATTTCCAGGGCTTGACCTGGTGACAGATACTCAATAAGTGTTTACTGAGTGAATGCAAAGATTCTGTTAGAAACTCATGTGCTTTGTCATCACTTTTCCTCAGAGGACACATGTGGAACAGAGCTTAAGAATCCACTTTTAAAAATAATTGATTCATTTAAAACATTTATTTATTTATTTGATGTATATTTGATTGTGGTAGGAACCAAGGAGGCAGGATGAATGGGGTGGACAAAAACAAGGACCTGGATTTTATGTGGCTTGAATTCTTTCTTTTTTTTATTTTAAAGATGTAGGGTACAATTCAGCACTAGGTATACAAATGTTCATTATGCAGGTACCCTTGTTGATGAGGTGTGCACCCTTTCCCCTGGCAGTTTCCTACTACTACCAGTCCCACACCCCTCTCCCCTGGTAGTTGCGGCTTGAATTCTAATGTGAACAGCAGACATTAAATATGGAGATAACTGAGTACCGTAATTCTAAATTTTGATAAGAGCTAGGAAGGAAGATGTCATGGAAAGTAATTGGGTTGGGGGTTGGGAAAATGTGTGAGAACATTGGTGGTGGTGAAGGGAATTCCTGGTCAGTGGCCAGGGACTACTCCCTTCTCTTTGCCAGAAGTTAATTAATTTACTCTATTTTTATAAGGCAGGGAGTAGAAGGTATAGAATACCATGAAACAGACATCAGTCAAAGCAGTTCTGTTTTCAACAAAGTTCCTATTATTTAAGTAAGAATTTTTCTATTTGTGCTAATTTATAGGGTACATGAGAAACCTTTCACATGTATATAATGCACAGACTGTATCCATCACTCGAGTACAATGCATTTTTGTTAACTATAGTCACCCTACTCTGCTATCAAACAGTACATTTATTTTTTCTTTTATCTCACTGTTTATTTATATCCTTTTGTTCACTTTTCTTCATCTTCCCCTACTCTTGCACCCTTCCCAGCCTCTGTTTTCTCTCTTTACACTCTCTATCTTCATGTGTTCAAATTTTTTTTGAGTTCCTACATATTAATGGTGACATGCTTCTGCACAACAAAAGAAATAATCAACAGAGTGACGAGACAATCTGTTGAATCAGAGAAAATATTAGGAAACTATTCATCCAACAGAGGAATAATATCCAGAATATACAAGGAACTCAAACAAATCAACAGGAAAAAACAAATAATCCCATTGTAAAGTAGGCAAAGGACATGAACAGACATTTCTCAAAAGAAGATAAATGGCCAACAGATAATTAAAGCATTTTTAAAACGTAAGTAATAATTCCATAGTATTTGCACTAATTTTTTTAGTTTACTACTTCTGAATTTTCCTTTTTTGTTTCAAAAGTTAAAATAGTGAAGCTCCTTTCCCTTTCACACTACACTTACAATACCCAGCTGGGCAGAGATTAAGAAGAGAAGTTCTAAGGACACATTTGATCATGGGTGTCCTGGGGGTAAGGCAATCCCCTCCCTCTTTTATCACATGGGGCTCTGATAAGGCAAATATCTCTATTATTTATCAGACATATTACGATGTTGTAGGCAAGCATGACATAGAGAAAGTTATAAAAATCTATAGAACAATCATGCTTTTGTTCTCTTCTCTTGCTGTAACTTACACAAAACATCTCTAAAATGGAATCAGCTCAACTCTCACAGTACCATCTTCTAGGGGCATTATGATAGTTTTTCAGGCTTCCTTTTTTCTCCCCAGATGAAGAATTGCCAAATGGCAAATAGAGTTGATGTAGAGTGGGGGGATCATATAAAGGTTTCTTGGTGCAGGGAGCATATTTTTTATCAGATCAAGTTGGTTCTCTCTGAGGAAGCACACTTTACACTGAAGGGGGAAGAATAGGACATTTACCAAGAAATAAGCATAGCATTCAGGTAAGGGGAGAGGGAGAGTTTCAGGCATCAAGTACAAAGAAAATGCTCAGAATATTTAGAGAAAGGAATGCACAGCGGTGGGAGGATCTTGAGAAAGAGAGAAAGTGGCATAGGATAATGTTGACAAGAAAGGAAGGGATGTGATCATATTTTTGGAAAACAGCAACCCAAATAATTAGTCATCTAACAACTTCCAAAGCATCAGATGGTTCACTAATATTTTGGGCACTTGATTTCCAAGAACGATTTAATTTAGCAGTGGATCAGCATGCACACCTTCATTGCAATTCACTGGGAAACATTACAAGGAATTTGGAGACCTGGAGGGCTTAGCAAGCTATTGGTTCTTACAGTTTTGTGTGCTGTACTCTGTCACCCTATGAAATTACTGAATTAATTCTCCTTCCCCACACATACTACTGTGGATTACTCAAAGTAGCCCACTGAAATGTTGGGGAAGGTACATTGCCCACTCCCTGGTAGATTTTACACTTTATGTGAAAATACTAAGTGAAGTAAGTAGAGGGAAAAATCAGTTTTATCTTATATCTCAGCGAAGTAGTACAAGAAAAACAAATACACAAAAGGACTACAGTGATAAGAAGTACACCAATGGCCAGCTCAGTGGCTCAGTCTGTAATTCCAGCACTTTGGGAGGCTGAGGCAAGTGGATTGCCTGAGGCCATTGGTTCAGGACCAGTCCAGGCAACTTGGTGAGACCTCATCTCTACAATAAATAAAAAATCAGCCGGGCTTGGTAGTGCATGCCTGGAGTTTCGGCTACTTGGAAGGCTGAGGTGGAAGGATCGCCAGAGCCCAGCAGGTCGATGCTGGGGTGGCCATGAGAGTGCCACTGCACTTCAGCCTGGGTGACAGAGTGAGACTCCAACTGAAAAAAAAAAAAACAAAAAACAGAAAAAAAAAAGAAGTACACCAATATGCTAATAGTGGTGGTCTAAAATGAAAGTGATTTTAAAAAATTTGTTGATTCATTTTGTCTTTTGTAATTCTATTAGGATTGTTTGTAAAAAGAAAAATTGTAATTATGAATTTAAAAACTTACCTAAAACATGTAAAGAAAACAGGGTTCTGTCAGAGCACATATACATAGCAACTGCAATCTGCTATTTGTATTTAGATTACTCAGAGAACTTTGAATAATGTTGATACCTGTTGCTGAATGTGATGCTATGAAATTGAAATGTTTTAAAAATTCAAATATTTTATTTGATTCAAGGAAGCTATTTTGACCAATGCAGAGGAGTTAGTCAAAATAAATGATTCTCCTTGCCTGAAAATAGAATAGCCAGAATGGACACTGATACATGGCTTTTCTATTTATTCTTTCCCTCCTTCATATATTGGCTAATATTCCATTTAAATACACAATATACATATTTTTGAAAACAAATACATATCTGATATTCTCTGTAGCTGGGCCATTAATTCTTAGAATGGAATGATTTTAGAGATTAAGAAAAGGCTAAGAGAAATGCTAGCAACACAATTCCTCAGCCATTTGTCCATCCACCCTCCCTCCCTCTATTCCATCCACTTAGTTGAGGCTCATTAAGAAAATGAGCCTCAACTAAGTATGAGGCACTGGGCTAGGAGCTTGTGGTGAAGCAATGAACATACTCTTGCCTTCAGGGGGTCTATATTCTAGAGGTGAAG